TTACATGCAAAGCAAGATAGTTCAAGCCGTGATTTGTCATAAGTGCAATGATTATGGCTTACAGCTCATGAAAACCACAAATCCACAGAATATTAGAATATTACATGCAATCAATAAAACAAGGAGTGTACATAGAACAATATCGGACCTCTGAAAAGTATAAACATGCATATGGACTCAGTACTTGTCTTGGGCCCCTTTTTCAGCAATTACTGCCTCAATGCGGCGTGGCATGGAAGCTATCAGCCTGTGGCACTGCTGAAGTGTTATGGAAGACCAGGATGCTTCAATAGCGGCCTTCAGCTCTTCTGCATTGTTCGGTCTCATGTCTCTCATCTTTCTCTTGGCAATGCCCCATAGATTCTCTATGGGGTTCAGGTCAGACGAGTTTGCTGGCCAATAAAGCACAGTAATCCCACAGTCATTGAACCAGGCTTTGGTGCTTTTGGCAGTGTGAGCAGGTGCCAAGTCCTCCTGCAAAATGAAGTCAGCATCCCCATAAAGCTCATTTGTGGAAGGAAGCATGATGTGCTCCAAAATCTCCTGGTAGACGGCTGTGTTGACCCTGGACTTAATGAAGCACAGTGGACCAACACCAGCAGGTAACATGGCTCCCCAAATCAACACAGACTGTGAAAATTTCACACTGGACTTCAAGCATCTTGCAGTGTGTGCCTCTCCATTCTTCCTCCAGACTCTGGGTCCTTGATTTCCAAATGAGATGCAAAAGTTGCTCTCATCAGAAAAGAGGTCTTTGGACCACTGAGCAACAGACCAGGTCTGTTTCTCTTTAGCCCAGGTAAGACGCTTCTGATGTTGTTTGTTGTTCAGGAGCGGCTTGACAAGAGGAATACGACATCTGAAACCCATGTCCAGGATCCGTCTGTGTGTGGTGGCTCTTGATGCACTGACTCCAGCTTCAGTCCACTCCTTGTGAAAGTCCCCAACACATATGAATGGCCTTTTCCCGACAATCCTCTCCAGGCTGCAGTCGTCCCTGCTGCTTGTGCACCTTTTTCTTCCACACTTTTCCCTTCCACATAACTTTCTATTAATGTGCTTTGATACAGCACTTTGGGAACATCCAACTTCCTTCACAATTACCTTTTGAGGCTTTCCCTCCTTATGGAAGGTGTCAATTATGGTTTTCTGCACAACTGTTAAGTCAGTAGTCTTCCCCATGATTGTGATTCCTACCGAACCAGACTGAGAGACCATTTAAAGGCTCAGAAACCATTTGAAGGTGTTATGGCTTACTTAGCTGATTGGAGTGGGACACTGTGAGCCTTGAATATTGCACCTTTTCGTAATATTCTAATTTACTGAGATTGTGGATTTGGGGATTTCATGAGCTGTAAGCCATAATCATCTCACTTATGGCAAATCACGGCTTGAACTCTCTTGCTTTGCATGTAATGCATCTATCTCATAAATTAGTTTCACCTTTTACGTTGCATTACTGAAATAAATGAACTTTTGCACGATATTCTAATTTTTCGAGTATTAACTGTATATTATATATCATTTTAATTTAATTAGGACTGGCCAAATCTACGGAGTTTTGATATATGTTTGTAACTTTCTTCAACCTGTTAACAATTAAATGGACAATGAATAGACATATTTTTTTCAAACAGATATGTTTATTTTAAATCTTTTCTCAATTAACCAATGCAGCTGTTTCAATCCAAGTGAAAAAGTAGATTGTTTTTCATTTGCAAGGGTACAATGTTATTTTAAAACAGTTGTTTTACTTATCCTCTAAAAATTACAGCTTTCTTGTATATCCCCAATAATATGTGTCACTCTTAATGAATGAGCATTGCTACCACTATTGTATGACTGAGCCTTATTGACCTAAATCTGTTCTGTGCACGAAATAAAAGTAAAACAAAGCGAATTCTTACTCAAACACACAGTTCCATCATGCATTCACAGAGAGGTAGCAAACCTCATAAGCATGAATTCACATTGCCTTCTTCAGTCACATACTGCTCTTAAAACTAGCACAAACAGGCTAAGAGCAAGTATGCTGACTATTGCATTCATATACGGGACAATGGGAGAGCCACTAACTCTAGTAGTGTCAATAATTCCAATGGCATCAGAGGTATGTGTGAGCCTTGGCTTTAGCAGACACAGAAAACGTATTTACTGACAATCTTCAATTACTCTAGAAGACAAACTGACATTTTTAGAGATCCGGTGCTTTTCAAATCAGTCCTTTAAGACCACCAGTCGTCGAGGATTTAGGAAATAGTCAATTGTTTTGAAACAGCGACGATACTGCATGGACAATTAGCGATGTTTGAGAGTTCGTTTAAGAATCTGATGAGTAGATGGTAAAGTAATACTTACTCAATTTGAAAGTTTTAAGAGTTTTAGTTTCTCAAAACTAATGTATGCACTATGCTCATTAAAGGGGATTAATAGAAATTAGTGACCATTTTTAGTTCGGAAATTTGAATGAATTTATTTATTTATTACTGGCATTTATAAAGCGCCAACAAATTCAGCAGCGCTGAACAATTGGGAAAAAGACAAACACAATAAGAACAGACTGATACAACAGGTAGAGGGCCCTGCCCGTGAGCTTACAATCTAAAGGTTAAAATGGGGAGATGAGACAAGAGGTAGCAGAGGAATTTGTTTGTGATGGCAGAGAGAGTTAATGGTATTGCTGCAGCAACTGAACTGAATCAATAGCTTCTATCAAGCTTCCTGTTTGGTTCTGCATTTGGTGCTGTCAATTGTACGAGTGTATGTATTGTTTACATTTAATGATTAAATGGGAATATTTAACAGAAAACGCAGCATTTTACATAATATATATATTTTTAATATAATACAGTCAGACAATATAAAATCTGTATGCATATACCCGAATAAGAAGCCCTTGGCTATAGATCGTAATATATAAATGAGAATAAGTGCAATGCAGATTGATCTAGGAGGAAGAAATCTAGTTTGTAAAAGCTGAATTAGGTCATGTCACGTTAATTTCATATATGAGTTTTTGGTTTAATTAATAAAGAGGTAAAGTTTGTTAAATACATCAGCTGTAGCATTATAAAACACAAAAGAAAGCTAAATATTGTACAACATGCCATTGTACAGCGCTACGGAATCTGATGGCGCTATATAAATAATAAAATAATAAAATAGAAAAAATACAACGATTAATTATCATTCCTTTTTTTTGTTTTTTTTTTACCTTTTCATACTTAGTACTTCTGCCAGTTGCATGTTGGGGGCCAAGTCTTAATGACTGTGAAGCACTTTAGAAATCAGGTGAAGTGTGAAAAATCAAGCAAGCATTCATTAGACCACAAGAAAATGGGATTGGATTAAAGTAGAGGAAAGCTAGGTATTGGTCAGAAGCACCAGGGATTCCTTGATATAGGGATACATAAATAAGCATGTTTATCAGACTTGGGTTTTTTGGATGGAGACATTAAAGAGTTACTCCAAGCATCATTACCAATACAGCCCACTGGCCTGGTGACTCAGTAATGAGGCTAACCATCTAGTAACAGTTTGCCCTCTTGCATGGGTGCGTTCTAGACTCCGAGGTGATGCTCTTCCAGCTTGTGCAGACCTGCAGAAGTCACAAGCCGATCTAATCATCATTCATTGGCTGAGAATGTAAGCTGCTTGCTCTCAGCCAGTGTATGGCACATTGTTCAAAAAATATTAATTGGCATCCCCAACCTCTTCTTTTCTTTTCATTGTTCAAAAAAATTGCACAGAATTTAAATTAGCCAGTTTGGAACTTTTGTTCTGGGCCAGCTAATGACTCGCCAATGACTCTGCCAGAGGTGGAATTACAACTCCAGCAGCCAAGGTTAAACTCTGTATATGCAGCGTTTCCCAGTGAAACGCTGCACATACAGACTCCAGGTACCATAACCACTTCAAATCACTAATGTGGTCATGGTGCTTGGAGTAACTCTTTCAAGCTTTTTTTTAATTATTTTTTTTTTGTGCCTGTTATGATGTATAAAGATTATTATCCAAATTAATAATAATCAAATCATTGACCTAATAAGGACACAAGGATGTGATGATTCTTCCATGAATAATTTAGGATCTAATTCTCATCCTAAAACAAGTATTAGAAATCTAAACAGGTGGTGCACTAGACTTTGCAGTATCTTTCAATTATATATATATATATAAAATTTAGTTCTTCCTAAAATATGACTTCATAATATAAGACAGAAGTAATTATTATGTCAACTTTTTTCGAGTTACTAACCATTAATCGTTATCATATTTACTATTTTTATCTACCTGGACATTAGTTGACATAATACATTTGTAGGAAGTGCTAACATGGTGAGGTTCGGAGGGCACAGTATAGCCAAGCTCTGTTAGGAGATGGTTTGTCTATAATCGGCATGAATAGCACCTGTCAAGGCAGAGATAACATGGAGAGACTTTGTATTCATACTCTATTAGCAGTCATAGAGTTATCAAAATGTTCTGTTGTAAAACACAAGTTTTCTGCCAAATAAAATAAGTTATTGTCTGTCCTTCTCTAATCTACCAGTGGTAAGTATCTTACTTTCTTTTTAGATTTTTATGTAAATGTTAATGCATTATCTATACAATGCATTGAAAAAGCGGTTAAAACTATCTTGGAATGCCCCGTTAAAGGGAACCATTTCATCTCATTGAAGCGGTCTGGGTGCAGTGGACCTGTGATTTTAACACTGCATTGTAAAACATTGATATTTTTAGAAACTGTAACATTTACATTGCACGGCTACAATCACCTTTAGTGGCTGTCTTCCTGACAGCCACTAGAGGAACTCAGCTGCACTGACTGAGTAATACTCCATCACGTAATGCGGAAGCCTCCATGGGAAAGCATTGACTCAATGCTTTCTTATGAGAAAGCTTAAATACACACTGCGCTTGCTGCGCATGTGCATCAGATACCCATTGGATTGGACCATTGCAGTAAAGGTCATGTCTCCTCCAGACTTTGCAGGAGACAGAGAGAAAGGCAGCCTTGAAGGAGCCTCGGCACTTGAAAAAGGTGAATAAATCCTCAATTTTTTACATTTCTCTATGGAAATGGGGAGGGGGAGGATAAAGGACATGAATGCTATAATGTTTCTTTAACGCAAGCATAGTATTAATCAGAGAGAATTACCTTACTTAATCTTGTAATTTTTTCTAATCTTTATCAGTTAGATCATACATTAAGAAAAACAAATTCTAAATGCATCTTTAGCATGAACATCTGTTGATCAGTGTATTTGAAACTGTAAACAATACTCTTGTCAGGTTCATGCAAGGCGAACGCAAAGCAATATTCATTACCACGCTCTGTAACCAATATGCTTGTTTACCATAATGCTTTATGACCTTAAAATAACACTTCACATGTAAAAGAGGACAGCACAAAAGCTCAGAAAACATACATGAATTTATGTATTTAGGACATATCTATGTGTTTGAATCATTGGCCTTTCCCTTTCTTTGGAAAAGCAATGTTTAAAAAAATATTTTAATAGCAATAAAAAGGATTATTTTGCATTTGAAACAGTAAAACTAGCTATATCTAATGCATAATTTATACAAAATAAAGAGAGGAATAAAGAGATAAGCTAAGTATAATAGAAAATAATGCTACCGAGGGTCAGCGGAAACTCTATAGCAAACCACAAGACAGAAAGATGAGTTGTTTTTCCTAATATAAGCTTCACTGTTATGTTATGTATCAAGCTAAGGTTGATTGCATTCGTACTCATGGTGAACACAGCTACAGTTCAGAGTGTAAACTAAACTTTTGGCCATATCACAATTTGCCCAAATGTATGCTGATTGTGATTTGGCAGGATTCAGTATCTCTGATGTGTCTAAAAAATACTTGGATGAGCAAGTTCATTTGCTTTGGGATTCTGAGTTCTGGCAGCGATGCCAAAAAACAGACGACTAATAGAAAACAGATGACTGATGGCTGGAGGACAGTCACTAAATGTTTTTTTTTTTTTTTTTAAGACATGGAGGCTCCTTATATGCTGTACTCTGTAACATTAGAAGCAGTATAATAACATAGGAGGCAAATCCTCCTAGTAACAGTGTGGCGAAACCAACCACCTATTTGGATTATTTACCCTTCTTTTTGTATACTTCGGTAATTGAAGTCCACCGAACGGATTATAATTGTGGTGTTCACATACCGAACAAACTCACAAACCATTGGACCACCCAGGGGAGTTGTGTGTTGCCATTTGACCCTTTTGACCTCCTTAACACCTCAAAACCCCAACATACAGCGGTATTTGGTCGTTGAGTGTATGGAACTATAATCAGACACTGTGCGAATACCGCTGAGACTTCCACTTCCACTTAGGTTCGGTTCCATTCATCAAAGAAGAGCGAAGTTCTGCAGGATCTAACTCCTGAACGAGGGCCACATAACCAACTTACATACGAACAGTTATTTTATTATGTTCCGTACTCCTAAAAGAGACCGACCGCTCAGCCTGAATTTGTGGAACTCTTTTGGGCAGGCGCCTCGTATGCGGTCGTTCTAAACTATACCCCGGTGGCGTTTCGGCTGCATTCGTGGGATCTGAGTGCTTTCGGGATATGTTGGGCGCTCAGATGCAGGCTATCCGGGGATATAGGACTTGAGGGGGTACCTATTTGCAAAGTGTGTATTTTGTGGTGTTTTTGTTATGTAAGTCTTGGACCTGAGAGTTAATGTAATTAAGGGTGTGTTTTATAACAGTCTCCTCTCAGGTCCAGTGGGGAAATGCCCCTGGAATATGTTACCTGAGACCCCTTGCACGGTGACACACATAAAAGGCTGTGTGTGGCGCCTATTAAACCAGTTGACACCCAGAACTGTGTGTCGGACAGTTACTGGGGGGGTTTGAACTGCGCTTTCGTTCATGCTTTACAGAACACCAGTGAAGATATTGGTTTTATTATTGCAGCTCCGCTACAAACAGGAAACACCAATCAGCATCCTTTCTCAGCATGATAGGGGTTATCCAGCAAATCACTCCTCTTTCTTTACTGCTCCCTCGGTTAAGTACAACATAATCCCAAGATTGTTAACTGTGGGATCCATATTTGTTCTTATTTGTTTTTCTTGATTGTTTTATTTATTTGCTTAATTGTTTTATTGATTGTATTGTGTATTTTTATTATTTAATATTGAGACTTTTGTCCTACTTTTTTGTTTTTTTTCCACATTGTGTCTTAGTTTAGTTTTCCCTTCGACCTCCCTCGCCCTGTACTCTTTTGATAGTTCTCAGGGATGTCATTCGGTTAATTTCCCTATATTTGCACTTTTCGTGCTCGTTTCCCCTTTGTACTGCCATTTTCTCACTCTGAATTGGGTGCACTTTTAAATTCCATCGATACTTTAACGGCGCTGCCTTTTGCGCCTTTCATTCGCATTTGCACTTCGAATGCTCTCCTTCTTTACTGTTAATACTACTGTTATTATGCGCATTTGGGACTGACCGCTTACTACCTCAGCTCCGAATGCACTTTCGTTCGGAGCCATTTGCATTTTGAATCGCTTTTCGCAATTCGCCACGGCCCAACTCGTAATGCATTTAGGTCTGTGAAACAGACGATTTTTCAAGCCTTTTCTGTTTAGCCTTGCCCCTTACAGACTGGGGACTCTGTCAAGGTTTAGTATTGTTGGCGGCCGGACATCTCTTCCTTTGTCTACTGAATTGATTATTTGCTCCTGTGAGTATTTCTTCCCACTTTTTTATTCATTAATTTTCCTTTCTTGCTTAATCAACCCTATCCTTTAGATTTCTTTTTATGTTTTTGCCTACAGCCAAATATTTTATTTTTATCTATCTCTGTACTTAATACTTTCAGTATTATATAGACTGACAGAGATATGTCTATGTGTAATACGACCCCTCAGGTCACCCTGGGGGTTTCCATGGGACCTCTGTCAAAGAGGCTGATTTGTCGCCTGATTTTCCGGCCTCTGCTGAGATGCAAGCACTTTTTGATGCCTCTATGTCAAGGTCCATGACGAAGTCCTTAGTTTCTGTGATGGGTGTTATGTAGACATCCCTATTGCAGACATCTACTCAGGCCCTTTTGCAGGCCCAACGGACAGCTCCACCAACTTTTCAGGTGACAGCACCTCTATCTGCACCTGATCCACATCAACTAGGTTGCAAAGAAATGGCCAAATCCAAACAATCCTTCAAACAATGCGAGTTGGACAGTTTGCCTCCTGTCACTGATGGAGCATTACTACCACCATGCAAAAGAGCCACTAGCCGGGCAAAATCAGCTAGATTATGGAAGAGTGCAAGAGTCCAGTTGGACTTGTCTTAACTCGGCAAAATTGAGGAGGAGTTCCCTAGGTACCTCGTGGATGACTTGGAAGGCTGGTCCAAACCGGAGTTCGATGGTCCTGATGGAAAGGCGAACATCTGCTCTCATGACATGCTCCAGGTGGGATTTCCAGGGGCTCAGTTAAGTTTGTCGGGCTCTGGTGGTGATTTTAAAATGTTGGATCCAGAATGGTGTCCTTCTGATCATGTGGCGAAATATATCACCTCACAAGTACATAGGCCCTTGGAAGAGGTAACTCACAATAAATTACAGGTTTAATATCTAGCCCCACAGTCCCTGACGACGACTGCAAGACACCTACGGCGATTGTGCAATACAAGAAGTTTAAACATTAGATCTCTCTTTACAGAAAATGTGTAGAGAGATACTATAGTTCACATGAGGTGTGGCTAGGGCTAAATAAACAAAGTTATTTAACTTCAAAATGGTAAAGAATTGGGCAGCTAAACTTCAATAGCATGATCTATACACTAATTAAGCTAATTCACTTCATTAAGCTAAAGTTGTTTTGGTGCTTATAGTGTGCCTTTAAGTCCATGTATTAATTACATCTATAGTTTTCTGTTTACTCCATGAATTATTTGTGATTATGGTGAGGTCCATGTTTAGACCACCTGTATGTGGTTACTTGCTGTTTGCTGTATAAAACTTAATTTGGAATTAGATGGGCTATAGTTGATACTTGTGAACAAAATATCAATTCTAAATTGTAGTCTCTCACTGCTGGGATAATGTGTGTCTATTATATATACAATTCTACATTGTGGAAATCCTGTACACAATGAAGTCCTCTTTAACCCAAAATAAAACTTCTTTGTCACTCAACATTTGCTAAATAAATACAGCTGACCAGATTATATTCCTCATTAGTGTCCCAATGGCATTGAATAACTTTTCAACTTGTTTTGATTTGGTTTTGTTTTTTCTATGACAGAAGGAGCAGATGTCTACTGAAAGAAATGGCATGAGAGTTACAAGATTTGTCATCAATTGACCAAAATAAATGGTTTCCAAAACGTGATTTTGAGTATATTTATCAAATGAGTTAAAACAAAATCATTATCTAATAAATTGGACCTCCAACATGATGTGAATGGTAATTCATTGCACATCTCCTGGACCACGTTAATGTGCAGTAATGATACACAGATGTTTCAGTAATATGGTTCATGGGGTAACTGTGACCAAGGTTAAGTTACACCCCTATCATTGCAAATTACTGACCAATTGACTATTTATTTCATATTCTTGAAACAGTGAATCCAGACAGTTTAATAGTTTTTGTATCTACAGTGTGACAAATGTAAAAAGGATGCACTTTGCTCCCAAGGTTATTTAGTATATTCCAAATTGTAGTAAATTTAAGTCTTGATAGCTAAATTTAGGCAACAAGTTTTAGAGAAATTTGTTAATGTGAGCAGAGTAACCACCCGGGCACTTTGTACATGGAAATAACACCTGGTTATGTTAAATTCCACATCTAGTTTGGAAAAAAAATTCTCTTTGTTGGATCCTATAGACTGTAAGTTCATTTGGGCAGGGTCCTCTTCAACCTATCGTTCCTGTAAGTTTTCTTGTAATTTTCCAATTTATAGTTAAATCCCCCCTCTCACAATATTGTAAAGCTCTACGGAATCTGTTGGCGCAATATAAATGGCAATAATAATAATAATATTAAATATTTAATTAAATATACTATGAAAGGTTGGGAATTCACCAGGGAACACTGAACATTTTAAGCCAAAATAAGAATTTTTTTTTATTTTTCTCCATTGTAGCTATATTTCTAGTTCCACTATATTATCTTTAAATTTGTAATTCCTTGATGAGACACTGACTATTCATATTTTTTTTAATTATACTGTAAATATTATAACGCACAATATTTATTCAATACCCATTGATCAACAAATAAACCTCATAGGATGTATGTTAAAAAATATGCAATATCATTAAAAACTTAATTAGAAATGGTACATTTTAAGCTCACCTTACATTATTCATCACTCACAACCTTCTCTTCAAAGTGAAAACCTCAGACCTCTTAGTATAAAACTGTTACTTTTTATAATCTTACAGAACCCTTGTGTGCCAGACCTTCGCCATTCAAAGCAATATTATGTTTGCATCTTATCCAGCACTGTTTGATGACTCCGTTAATTACATATGGTAGAAATGTAATCTTCTCTAAAGTTCCTCTGATAAACATTGTAGCACAGGAACTGCCCAACCATCCGCATTATGTTGCTATTAATACATCATACAGTCCAAGTTTCTATCACTGAGACCCATCACCACGTTGTGTATCAGGCCTGCAAGCAAGGACAAGTCTCACGGAAATTAGATCTCATTTCATATTGAAGGGTACATAAAAATAAAACAGATTTAATTAATTGTATATGAAATAGAAACAAAGTATGGACGTTTTACAGCCATTGATTTATATATTGTCAAGTGTTCCAATATTGCCAGAAAAACAATTATTTTGCTTTTATGTTAAATGTACTGATTATTTGCCTAGTAGGAAGATTATTTAGGACAGACATTTCAAAATAAGTCTGAAGGCTTGCTTACAAGTCCTTAAGGTAGGTGTATCAGCAAATAACATTTAACTATTATATAACTTGAAGCTCCAGTACAGACCATTGTTGTCCGTAGTTGACTTTAATTCTTTATCCTTTTCGTTGTTCTTGTTTCTTGCAGTCTACAATGATGCAGCCTTCTTCAAATCCCAGATCTGATTTGACATTGCCTTTTGCATCATTTGGTAACGTACCAAACTATATAATTGATTATAAGACAAAAACTGGAATTTATAAGAGCACTAAGACTGAACAACAGCTTAATTAACTGGCCCTTTTGTGTGTCCTATCTCAGGGCTCATACACGTTTTAGCTCATTGGTGCTATGGCAGAGAGCTCATTAGCCACATATCAGACTGACTCTACCTATAAGTACAGCCTAGATCAAAATGCAGGCAAGTTCACTTTGTACAGAAGATACAGCAACTCCGGACGATCATTTTGGACATCACTGATTCTTGTCAGTAAAACAAAACAAAAAATAAAGAAAGAAAGAGTTTATGAGAGCACAGAGAATGGACAACACCTTTTATAAAAGTCTTAAGTTTAATAATCACTGAGAGAACCTTAGCCAGTCTCATATCAGAATGATTCCATCCTCAAGGGCAGTTCAGATCCAAAATTGGTTAATTGATCTTTTTTACAGCTTTACACTTTCATACCAACGATCTCCAGTACCAAGATAGCTAGAAACGTAGCGGGAACTCACCTGACAAACATCTTTATGTGGATTTGCATCATCACTTGCTTACAGCACATGTCGCTCCTAAAACAAATATGTTAAAAAAACAACTGTATGTTCTGTCACTGTCATCAAAATTCAGAAATAAACTAAAGACTACAGCAAGTTATACCATCTTATGCATTTGTTTTGTTATCAGCATGGTACTTAGTCATAGTCAATAGCCTATTGGTTACATTAAGTTCTTTACTGCTAGCATTTAATCACTGAGTAAAGCATTTATATTTTAAATAGTTTCTTGAGCAGCGACTGCTTTAAAGATATCCAATACAGGGATGCTGTATCCTCTCCATTACACCAGTTAATATATTATCATTCAAAGAACATAAAATGTTTTACAAAATATTATACATTATATCAAGAGACCTGTATGATCAAGCAAGCCTAGAGATGATCGTAAGCCGTGATTAGTAAGGAATTCCTGCTATCACGGCTCATGAAAGGTAATTTTGTTGCACATGATGGGATCTCAGCGAACATCTTTCTGTGGTGAACTCCACAGTTGTAGGTTAATAACACATACTACATGTACATAGTTATATAGGCTGAAAAAAGACATGTGTTAATCAAGTTCAGCCTTCCTCAGATTAGTTTTTTGCTGTTGATCCAAAAGAAGGCAAAAAAAAAACAGCACTTGAAATTTTTCAAAAACTAGGGAAAAAAGTCCCTCTACTCCAGAATGGCAGTCAGAATTATCCTTGGATCAAGGATCTATTACCCTACAGCTGAAAAATAATATCATTGAATATTATGTTTTTGCAAGTATGCATCTAGTTGCTGTTTAAAACATCTGCACGGAGTCTGATAAAACCACTTCTTCAGGCAGAGAATTCCACATCCTTATTGTTCTTACGGTTAAAAAATACTTTAATTTACCTTAAGCTAAATCTCATGTCTTTCAGTCTAAACGCATGACCTTGTGTCCTATGTTTAGTCCTGTTTGTGAATAGATTTCCACTAAATTTTTTGTATTGGCCCCAGATATATTTGTATAATGTTATCATATCCCCTCTGAGGCAATGTTTTTCTAAACTAAAGAGGTTTACATTTGTTAAACTTTCTTCATAACTAAAATGTTCCATTCCTTTTATTAATTTTGTAGCCTGCCACTTTTTCTAGTTCCATAATATCACTGTTTAGAACAGGTGCCCTAAATTGCACAGCATATTCAGGATATGGTCTTACCAGTGATTTATAAAGAGGCAAAATTATATTCTCATCCTGAGAATGAATGCCCTTTTTCATGCATGACAATACCTTACTGGCCTTAGCCACTGCTGATTGACATTGCACATTGTTGCATAGTTTGTTGTCTAAAACAATTCCCAAGTCCTGCTCATGTGTTGTTATCTCTAATTCGCTTCCATTAAGGGTATAAGTTGCTTGCGCATTCTTTAGGCCAAAGTGCATAACTTTGCATTTTTCTACATTCATTTTCATGTGCCTAGTGCCTAGTCCCCCAAAGCAAAGTAATATCTTGCTCACATTGAATTACTTTACAGAGTTTTGTGTCATCTGCAAACACTGAAACATGACTTTCAATGCTGTTTTCAAGATCATTTATAAATATGTTAAATAGAAGGGGTCCCAGAACAGTACCTGGAGGGACACCACTTGCCACCTCTGTCCTGCTTGAAAATTTACCATTAACCCCTTAAGGACACATGACATGTGTGACATGTCATGATTCCCTTTTATTCCAGAAGTTTGGTCCTTAAGGGGTTAAAGGGACACTATAGTCACCCAGACCACTTTAGCTCAATGAAGTGGTCTGGGTGTCAGGTCCCTCTAGGGTTAAGCCTGCCTGATGTAAACATAGCAGTTTCATAGAAACTGCTATGTTTACATCTGGGTTAAGCCAGCCTCTAGTGGCTGTCTTCCGAACAGCCACTAGAGGTGCATCGGCACTGATTGAGGCATATTATGCCTCAATCACGCAGAGCATCCACAGTAAAGAATTGAAAAATGCTTTCCCATGGACACTTTGAATGCACACACGGCAGTGCCGCGCATGCGAATTCGGCGCCGGTGACGTCAGACAAGGATGCTGACGTCGGCGGGGGAGGAGAGGTAAGGGAGCCCGGGGGGGAAAAGGGTGAGGAAAACCGCCTTTAATGCAACTCTCTGTACTCAGACTGCCACTAGACGTGCTTCCCGGGTCAGATGTTCAGCATCTTAAGCTTTGTATGGGGGGTGCTGAATGTTCCTCATAGAGATGCATTGATTCAGTGCATCTCTATGCAGCGTTTTGCCACACATATGTCATAGCCTCCCTATGCTTTCCTATGGAAAAGCATTGGATTGGCTGAGATCATCAATGGATGATCTCAGCCAAGGAGACAGGGCATGGACTGGGCCAGCAGCAGCAAAACCCAAAACGCTGTGGAAAAAAGGTGAGTAAAGTACCTTTTCAATGGGAGGACAGGGAGGACACTTAAACAGTGTTTTCACACCTGTAGTGTAATACCTGACACTATAGTGTTCCTTTAATGATTCACTGAATCTCTATTATGAAAATCGATGAACTTTAGAGTAATCAAGAACTAAGTAGAACATTGCTATTGTCTGTTAACCACAACCAGCCAGTCATAATTCTAGGGATGTCTAGTTCAAAGTCTCTGAGTGTTTTAGGTCTTTGTTTAAAAAAAGCTAATCTATTTTAAATAATGCAATTTAAGCTAGAGTAGGTATATTATTAATTATAGTTTTCAATAGCATAGAAGAAAGCATTCCTTGATCTTTTAATACACTGCTAAAAAGACCAAAAATAATTTTCCTTTATGCTGTTTAAGTCCATTCCGGTAAAGTAACCAGTGTTTATGGTTAGCTGAAAAGTGCTTATCTATGAAAACAGGACTCCACTTACAGACACTTTTATATAATATTGGTTAATAATGAGCTTTAGCCTGCAGCTCCATTGACTGCAAGCTGACTTTTTCCTCTTGCGAGCTCAGCCCTATGTCAGACAGCCTGCTCGAGGGAGGAACTTACAGCCTCCCAGATCCTCTCTCTGCTTCAATACACTGCCTTTTGGCTGGTGAGGGAGATCTTTGATCTCATCATGGCCAGAGAAAGACAGAGAAACAGGCTCTGCATGGGCCGTCAGGAAAAATATAAAAGGATCTCCCCTGTCAGCCTTTGCCTATGGGCATCACTGTGGGGCCCCTATGCTTGTGTGGCCCCTGGGTAACTGCCTGGCATACCCATGCTGAAAGACAGCCCAAGACTTCTTCTGCAGCCAAGCCTTGGTGGAATTTGAGTTAAGCTTGGGGTCATTGTCTTGTTGGAAAGATGAATGACGCCCAAACTTCAGCATTCTCACAGACGGCATGATGTTTTCTCCTAGGATATCCTGATACTTCAATGAATCTATCTTGTCTTCACATGCTGTAGGTTTCCAGTGCCAGAGGAATCAAATCACCCCCAGAGCATTACGGAGCCATCACCATGCTTAACTGTAAACAGAGTGTTCTTTTAATCTTATGCTTCAATCTTCTTCCAGATATACCACTGATCCATTGGGAAAATTTCCAGTTTTGTTTCATCGCTTCACAGAAAAGAATTCCAAAATTTATGTGGCTTATTTTTGTGGTTTTGAGCATATTGGACCCAACTTTTCTTATGCTTTTGGGTCAGTAGTGGTGTACTTCATCGAGTTCTGGCATGGAAACCTTCTGCATTTAGTACAAGCCTCACTGTGCTCACTGCCTGTTGCCACCAAGTCTTGCTGCAGATCTTTTGCAGTCTCTCAAGGGTTTTTCACAACCTGCTTTCTCAGAAATCTTGTTGTAGCCATTGATTGCTTAATTCTTTTTCTGTCCCACCCAGGTATTTTAACCACTGTTCCTTCAATTCTGAACTTGTGAATTATGCTTCCAACGATGTCCCTAAGAACATCTAATATCCTGTTCCTTGTTTATGAAGGGCGATGATCTCTTCCCTTAACTTTGTGGACCATTCTTCGGACTTAGCCATATTTCTAACATGAAATCATACGTTACACTCAACAAACCCATAGCCAGTTCAGGTATTTTAAGTGTTCTGGTGCAACTAACGAAGACCCTGATTAGTTGCATCAGGAGTGCTTGAGACAACACCAGTTTTGCTTATTTGTGCTGTTGTGAGGGATTCTATTCAGGGGATTAAATATTTTGAGACTTGAGAAGTCATTATAAGTTGCATTGTCAGTTGAATTTGGGGAATCCACTTGAAGCATTTGTTGTGTTGAGTTATTTCAATTTCTTTTGTTCAAGGTCAATGTACTCCATCTTTAACAGGTCACAGGTGGAATTTTTTTCCCCAAGTAAGTAGGTTAATCTCATAAGAGCAGGCATTAGATTGTTAGAGTAGGACCTGCCAAAGATGGGGTACATTGACATTGTGGGAGGCTTATGCAATGTATGATCATATACTGTAACAAAACCCCCATTATTTTTGCCTAGATTAGGTGTTTAAAAAAAAAAAAAAAAACGAATAAAATCTGTGAGCTTTGAAGTTACTGTTTAGTGGATGAATAAGGCATAAGACTTGCTTTTCCCACAGAAATCTCACATGTGCAGTGATGTTACTACTGCAAAGGATTCTGGGTGGGCATATGCAAATTATTATTTTTCCTCGTTATTCCATTTTAAACCTGGATTCCTTGGACTTTGAGTTTGCTGTATACAACATCTTTGAACACAACTCATGAAGCGATACAAAGCTGGTAAACTACAGCTGTTTCGTTGTTAATGCAACTCATCAGTGTGAGGTTGGTTACTGGCCTGCTATTGAGGCTTGGCATTACTTGCGAAGCAAAAACCAAGAAAGTTATGGTGGGGAAAAATTATGGTGGGAAAAAGTTCAAATTGTTTCTATAAGGCACATAGGCACATAGCGATATAGGGATTACAAATTCTGTTTTTTTTTTTTTTTCTATTGGTTTGTTTTACTGTTTATTTTTTTTATTTTTATTTTTTTTATTCGTACAGGATGTTTGGAGGATTTT